GACACATTTTCATTATGAAATATTTGGCTTGTATTTCCAATACACATATATGGATCTTCAACTTCAATGATCCATAACTTATAGTTATGTTTGTTCTTGAACTATCGAATATATATAATTTCAAATTGCGTGATATGACTCATATCATTGAATCACAAAGGAATAGTCTTTTCGAGTACATATATATATAATTTCAAAATTTGAGTTTTATTGCTTAAAATTATGTACTCGATTTGAGCCTGAAGGCTTCATATAAATCATTATAGTACTTGATATGAAATAATAGTACTATAATTAACTCAAATTTTCATATATATCATTGAACCACAAACTGAATAGTTCTTTCGAGTACAATATACTATTCAAATATCAAGGATTGAGTTTTATATCATGAATTTATATACTCGATTTAGGCCTCAAGCCTTTATATTTGGTATTTAATCGTAAAATAATGGTACCTTGAGTGGGAAATACCCATTAACTCAAATATTCAATTTTGAGTATCATCACTTAGACCTTGAGTCTAATATATTCAATCGAGATATCTAGTCTTCAAATTTAATCTAGGCCTCAAGCCTTTATATTTAATATTCCTCCATATAAGCTTTCAAGCTATCATATTTAAACTAGGCTTCGAGCCTAAAATTTAGGAACTTCGAGGTCGTTTTCGATTGATGGAGATTTTCAAGTCGCATAAATTAAAGAGCAAGTGGTTTATGCTTTTTTAATATATCACTCAAATCTTCGAGTCACTTGATTGCACGTGCTCGATTTGGGCCTCAAGCCTCAATATATAATAAAACTCGTTATAGTACTTTGATCATGAAAGAATCGTACTATAAATGGGGAATACCCTCTAACACAAATGTTCAAGAGTCTTATCATTTCGACTCTAATATACTCAATTGGGATTTTTAATCACGCATGTAATCTAGGCTTTAAGCCTTTAATCGTCCCATTTGTTTTTAGAACATTATGTTCATCTCAAAAAAATTCGCACAAGGGACAACTCTGGAAGAGCTGAGTATTTTAAGCATATCTCTTTTGATCGAGATCCGATTTTGATGATTCAAAATGTTCCGAACAGCCAATAGAAACTTCTACAAGTTTCGTATTTCGCATTTTCTGAAATTCGGACATTATCAGGTCCAAAACAGACATCGAATTACAGACTCGTGAATTGCACGAAAATTCACCTACAACAAAAGTAAGATGGTTAATATTTTATCAATTCAAAACAAGAATAAAATATTTAAAATCAACTCCCTTTCATCTTCTATGGCTAAGGAGTCATTTTCCTTGGATCATCTTTACTCGAAAATTTAAGTAGAACAATCGTGCTGATAACGTGTTGAAAAATTAAGAAATAATATACAAAGAAAAGAGAGCAATGTAGGGAGAATATGTGATATATTATTCCATAGCTTCAAGTGTACAAATACATTACATGGTGCTCTATATATAGCACTAAAAAAACCCCTCAAAGGTCATGAGTTACAAGGCCATAATGGGATCATCAATAGGTATTATGGTGTGACAATGGTGGGAGTGATGGTGCTTGATGATGGTGAGTAATGGTGGTCATCCACACCTTCTAGAATTCATAATAATTAGAACAAAGTAAAGAGAATATGTAATATGTTATTCCATCTCTTCAAGTATGTAAAATACATTATATAGTGCTCTATATATAGCACTAGAAGACCTCTCAAAGGTCATGAGTTACAAGGCCATAATGGGATCATCAATAGGTATTATGGTGTGATAATGGTGGGAGTAATGGTGCTTGATGATGGTGAGTAATGGTGGTCGTCCACACCTTTAAGATTTCATAACACTCCCCCTTGGATGTCCACCATCTATGGAATATGCCTCGTTAAAAACCTTGTTAGGAAAACCCATTGGGACAAAACCTAATCGAAGGAGAAAAGAGTACATTGATGAGTGTTCATTTTGCATGATTTTCACTTATCAATTCTTCGAGTTTTGGTCTTCATTCGTCCGAGTTTTCGGCTTTATTTGTATATATTATGTTGTTTTTGTTTTATTTATATTTTAGGTAAAGAGAAGCTATTTTTGCCGATTCGAAACGATTTTGGAAGCGAAGCCGATAATCAAACAAAACACGTGCAAAAGTACATTACCGCGGGTTGTGGCACTGTTTCGTATTTCAAGTATAACTTTTGCATACGATCTCCGATTCAGCTGATTCAAGTGACTATAGAAAGCTAACTTCAAGATCTACAACTTTTGTGAAATGCAAAATTATCCAATTCGGGCTAGAAAAGGGTCCAAACAGTGTTTGATGTTGGCGCAGAAGCCCAGATCGCGATCCAGCGTTTGTGTATCGCGATCTGGGGGGTCTTACAGAAGGTTTTCTTGATCAGGACCCAGATCGCGATCCAGCCTTCCTGGATCGCGATCTGGGGGGTCTCACAGTACATTTCTTGATCAAGAACCAGATCGCGATCCACCATGCCCGTATCGCAATCTGGAAAGGCGGTGCGCAGTTTCCAAGGCTGCCAGATCGCGATCCAAGAAGCCCAGATCGCGATCTGGGCACAGAATTCGAGACGAGATATTTTTCTTTGATTTCTTATTATAAATAGAAGGTCTCTTATTCATTTTTCGAGATCTCGACACATCAAGACTTATCTCTCGACCTTTTCTTCGGTTTTCGCCAGTTCATCGCGGGAAGCTTCGACGAGGGTTTCGACTCGGGTTTTTCATAAGCTTTTCTTTACGTTTTGTTTATGATTTCTCGTGTTCTTCATTTTGATGCTATGTTTGTAATGAACTGAGCATTTTCTTTTAGGGAAATGAAACCTTGTAGATATTGATTTTGATTTCCAAATATGCGATCTATTTGTCGTTCTTTGATTCTGTTTATGTTTTCCTATATTAAATGCTTTCGATTGTTTGGCCAGCAGTTGAATTGATTCTAAATGGGAATGAACTCGAGAGAGGATTTCTCGTTTGATTTTAGGAAAATATAGCTCGGGTTGTAGAAACGGAGACGTGATGCACATCGGGTAGCCCTTAAGGACTTGACCTAAATGCTCTCTTAATATCAGGTTCTGAACGGAGACGTCGGACCTGTGGGTAGACTCTAACTACACTGGAGACGGGGGTTAGGGTATTTTAGTGTCTGGGTTAGCGAACATAGAATTGACAATAGATTCGAATATGTAGATCTTTATCGATAGTACACTGGTGGATTTTGACCCTAGAAGCCATCACACGTCGGAATTCCTCGCTTTTACTGGCGGACCGTTGTTTTTATTTATTGTTTCCTTTTAGTTTCATTTCTCCTATCCATTCTTGATCGTCTAGATAAAGTTTAGGATAGTATAATTACGGTATTTGGTAGATTTAGGAACTTAATTCCCTGTGAATCGATATCTGGAATTCGGACATTATCAGGTCCAAAACAGACATCGAATTACAGACTCGTGAATTGCACGAAAATTCACCTACAACAAAAGTAAGATGGTTAATATTTTATCAATTCAAAACAAGAATAAAATATTTAAAATCAACTCCCTTTCATCTTCTATGGCTAAGGAGTCATTTTCCTTGGATCATCTTTACTCGAAAATTTAAGTAGAACAATCGTGCTGATAACGTGTTAAAAAACTAAGAAATAATATACAAAGAAAAGAGAGCAATATAGGGAGAATATGTGATATATTATTCCATAGCTTCAAGTGTACAAATACATTACATGGTTCTCTATATATAGCACTAGAAAAACCCCTCAAAGGTCATGAGTTACAAGGCCATAATGGGATCATCAATAGGTATTATGGTGTGACAATGGTGGGAGTGATGGTGCTTGATGATGGTGAGTAATAATGGTCATCCACACCTTCTAGAATTCATAATAATTAGAACAAAGTAAAGAGAATATGTAATATGTTATTCCATCTCTTCAAGTATGTAAAATACATTATATAGTGCTCTATATATAGCACTAGAAGACCTCTCAAAGGTCATGAGTTACAAGGCCATAATGGAATCATCAATAAGTATTATGGTGTGATAATGGTGGGAGTAATAGTGCTTGATGATGGTGAGTAATGGTGGTCATCCACACCTTTAAGATTTCATAACAATAATAGGCTTTGTTTGATTTCTAAAAATAAAATTAGTCAAGGTAAAATTAAATAATATTGAAAAGTCCTAAATAATATATAAAAGTCCTACTGATCAATCGATCGAACCGTACCCAGTTGGTTGTTCGGTTTTGTGCCTTGTACGGTTTTTAAGACATAGGACGAGACAACCAATTAGTTTTGCTCGTTCACTAAACAAAAAAAAAAGGTAATTAACTTTGTTTTAGAAAAAAAACATGCTTTTAAGCCTTTAATTAATAATGGTTTGTATTTTACAACAAAATTGAGAAATATCAATGCAATAATTTGATTGAAAATTTGTTTGTTTTTTTTTTCAATCGATAGACAACGTATAAGAAGCGTATTTAAGAACTAAATGGTTAAAGAGTTGATTGAAGCTCGTTCGACAATTTAGTTGTTGGTTCAAGAGATAGCCCGATAAAGATGGGCCAAGCCCTAAGAGGAGAAAAGAAACATCTGGACTCCAAATGGGGCAGGATAAGCAAATTGGGCCAAGAATAAGTGGTCCAAATGGAAGCCCGACTAGGCCTATTCGCCACTGGCCAGGCTACGCACCTCGTTGAAGGCCCATGAGATGCGAACAAAAGGGAGTAGGCGGCGACTTAACTAGCCGATCATGGAAGAGGCGCGACATGCGCATCAATGCCATAAGTAAACCAAGTGTAATAGTAAAGTAGTATCAATTAATACGTAATTAGAGGATCTAAATTGACACCAAAATGAGATCTTCTCTCTTGTATATAAGATAGAGGAAGAACACCTATTAGGGTTAGGTTGAATAAAAAACAATAACACTTTATATACTCTCTTGCAAAGTCTGTCTCATATTGATTATTTTATGTTCATTATTTCACTTTCTCCGGTCTAAGATCCGACGTCCGGTGTACTTTCCGACGGTCTTAAAGGAGTAGGATTTGGAGTGAGGTCTTGAGGGCATAGCCTACGCCATCAAGAGTCAATCTATAAAAATAATATTGATAAATCTACGCGCACGAAAATGGGGATACGGAAAAACGGGAAAACATACACGGAAAATCGACATGTCTGAAAAATGGGGATACGGGAATTTGGGCCCGAAAGCCACGGGAATAACACCTAGTAGAAAGACACAATCTTGAGTGAAATAGATAACTCGACTTTGATCTTTTTCAATAAAATCATCACGCAGTAAATCAACAAAGCCCAAAGTGATGTCTTTTTCTCCTTCAAGTTTACCTGCCACAGTACCAGAGTGAATATTATCCCCACAAGGACATATGTAACGGTTTAGCTAGTACATGGAAGTGTATACCATGATTCTTCTGTCTATCAATAACTGCATGCATTGCACGACGAATGTGAAGAAGTATGCCATTATCTCGGCAATAATGAGCTAGGCTAGTATTTGCAGTGAATCATCTTGTTAAGTAGTCATGCATTACGACTGGAACTCCCCATTCTCTTGTTAAGTAGGCCATCGGTTCACACAATTTTCCATGTATCAGTAGAAGATTCGGCAGCTACCGCGACCCCTGCTTCTTCAGACGGAACTCCTGGATGAGGAGTTATTCGGAATGTTGTTAAGATATGGCATCTTTGGTTTCATATTCAAGAGTATAATAAGTCAATTTGTACTCTTTAACACTTGCTTTGAATCCAACACTTACTTTAGTCTCTGTTTGTGGTGACATAAATCCCTCCATACAACTCATGAATTAAGAATTCTGACAAAAAAAGGTCTACTCGACACGATGAATTAGGCGTTAATGAAACTTTTCACAGGAACGTATAAATATTAAAAGTATAGGGGGTATATTTATAAATATGCTATAAAACATATATAAGTTATTTATATTTCCATACAAGTACATACCAGTCAACTATTAATTTGCAATTGATCATCATATCATGTAAATAATTAGGGAAGAAATAAAAATATTTGAAAATTTGCTATTCAAACATGTTTCTAAATTTTTAAAAATTACAAAATGACCCATAAATGTGTCCGACAGGTGTCCACGAATACGAGTATCGGACACAAAACATATTTGAAATGTGAATACGTTAAGAAGTTGAAATATCTTTGTATTACGTAGCTTATAGCCATATTGATATAGGTAATGAAAATAAATATTGAGTCTTTTTTTAAAGCTGACTATAAGTCGTTATAGTCAAATTATGCAATTTCCATTTGTTTTCTTCTATTTGTTTACGGAAAAAAAAAAAAGTTGAATTTCCAAAATACTCCGCGCCGCACTTGGGGACCAAACTATAATTTATTGACAGTTGTCAACTTGCATAAGAAATTCTTTATTCTTAACTGCTAATTATTTTGGTGTTAGTTATGCCAATTGCCAATGATTAAGACTCCTAAATGATTGATTAATTTTCATTAGCCTTTCACAACTTATAATTATTATAATTATTTATTTATTTATTTATTTATTTATTATTTGTTTTTGCCCCCACCCTTTAAGCTTCATCAATATCAAGGTGTTGACTGTGAATATTTATTGCCCTACAATCTAAACATCACACTAATCAAATGGACGCAAATTAAAAAGAAAAAATCATTACGCCTTTTTAAATACCTTAAATGGCATTTTGCTTAAGTCTTGTCGGGCAGCCGGGAATTTGGATTGAAATATGATTATAGCTTAAATGGAAAACTTAGACCGAGAACTTAACACTATGGTTGCGTTTAGGGGCGGAATCAGGATCAAAATATTGGGGTTAACCAAAATTTCGGGGCAAAAATAAGTTTAATAAAAATAGCATATATATATATATATATATATATATATATATATATATATATATATATATATATATATATATATATATATATATATATATTTATTATAGTGTTATCATATTTTAAGCATGACGAAAAAATCTTAATGTATTGCACTTAAATATTTTGGAGGTTAATGGCATCGTCTCATATTATTTTTAAGAGACACCGATAAAAAAAAATCCAAAATAAGTAAATATTCATAAATATTATAGAAAATAATACAAATTTTAACCATTTTATTAAATATTTTTATATTAAATATGATGTATACAAGTATAATTTATATAAGATTGTGGGGAAGAAATAAAAAATTAAGGGCTAAGACACGTATTTACAAAAACTTTAGGGGGGCCAAATGTAATGTTCAAAAACTAAAATGCCAAAATACCTAAAGAAAAAAATTAATCTTGGGGGGCAACAGCACCCCCTGCCCCTTTGAAGTTCCGCCCTTGGTTGCGTTTGCTTGACTGTATATGATTACATTGGATTATATGAGATTGAATTAATATTTCATTGACTAAATTATAGTGTCAGTAAGATGTTTGATTCCTTAGTATTAAATTTATTAAATTGTGGTATCAAATGTGAATTGTCTCAAAAAAGTTAATTAATAACATTAAGATATTGTTTTAAGGACAAAATTGTATTTTCTACTTTTAATCATCCCCTACAAAATTAATCGCATGGGTGAAGGATGTTACTAATTTAATCAAATAATAGCATTTAATTGCGGGTAGTAGCGGGTTTGACTAAATATGAATCTCATCAACCAAAAATCTTACTGACACATCCTCAGTCTAAGTTTTTCGTCTATAAGATGCTATACATGGTGTAACACACATTCTGATTTTGGACCATTGATCTATATAAATAATCATCCATTAAGTGCACATACATATGAGTGTATGTGCTATTACGTGAAGATCAATGGTTCAAGATCAACCTGTGAATTTCATTGAGTGTAGCATCTACAAAATCTATGTTTATGGGACAGTTCCGTCGAAGATATTATATATTCTCTTTGATCAATATATAGATATTATATATATACACTATGCTATAAATAATTAAAATTTCAATTTCAGAAGAAAATTAAAAAAAAAAAAAAAGAGTTGAAAACTACTCAATAGGGACAGTACAGCCAAGAAAATATTAAGGGTATCGAATGCAACAAATGAATGATGTTGAGCGCCAATAGATAGGTACAAAAAAATTGATTGAACGAAGTAAAACAAATAATAATTTCTAAAATTTGTTGTATAATAATATCCAATATAATAATATAGGTAATATATTTGCATAGTATTATTGGGGTGTAACCGGAGCAGGCTGTGCTAGGGGGGGTGGCTGCCCCCCTCGCGGCGGCGACTTTCGACAAACGGGGCAAGTTGGGTGAAGCAACAGCCATGGATCAACGCACTTGAGGTGGAAGAGGTGGCAGCACTGCGGCAGCAGCCTCAGCAAATCACTGTCCTTGTAGTCCGCCAGGCAGATGGAGCAGGTCGCCGCCGCCCCGCCGCCGCCGCCGCCGCTCTTGTGGGGCTTTATTTGGGAGTAGGTGTAGCGTGGGTAGGAGGATATTGTCGCCTCGTCCAGGCCGCCGCCGCAGCCGCGTTGATTAATGTTGACCACTATATCCATGGCCGGTGAGCTGTCGTAGTCGTCGTCGGTTGAGCGGCGGTGGTGGTGGTGGTGAAGGGTGGTGGTGGCGGTTGTTGGGTGGCGGCGCTTGCACCTGTAGGAGGCGTAGGTGATGATCATGAATATGGCGAGGACCGCCAGTGATAGGCCGAGGCCGTAGCCGAAACCGCCAATAGAACCGCCTACGAGAGGGGTGTCGACGGGTTCTTCCGGCGAGTCCAAAGTGCTGGTGTTCATTAATTTATTTTTCTAGAGAGAGAGAGAGAGAGAGAGAGAGAGAGAGATGACAAGGGTACAAATTGAGTGTATATATATATGACTACTCACTAGGCTGGTTTTTGTAGCTTCCGATCCTTAGGTGGTCAACTAGGTGTTTAATTATACCATATTTGTGTCGATATAACAAAAATTTGGTTATTGGATTTTGGGTTTTTGTGGCTTTCTCTTCTCCTCACAAAATTAATGGTGGTATGGTATTTGCTTAACTTATTTCACAAGACTACTTTATACAATGTCACACAAGTCAACGAGGTATCACAACACACTCTCTCTCTTTCTCTCTCCCTCTCTCACTCTCTCTCTCATATGGTGAACCTCGTCAAAGTTCAAACTACTGCCGAAAACTAAAGCTATGCGACCAATATGTATATATACATATAATATAGGGTCTATTATATGCTACACCCGGTTAACTTCACCGGGTTTCTAAGATTTCGACATGTGGCAATTAGTAAATTAATTAGTTAATTATATATTTTTAATTATTGTGAAATTAATTATTGAAAGAATCACTTTAAAATAGGTAATTAGGATCCTCTCTCAAAATCTTTCCTATTTTTTCTCCAATTACTCCCTCTTTGACCCACTACTGCACTTCTTCTTCTTCGTGGTTCGATTGATTTTTGGCTTTTTATTTTCTTTCTTCTGGCTTCCGCAAACGAAACTCTGCAACGAATCTCCAACCTTCCCTGGTAGGAGCAAATTAACTCTATTATTCACGTAAAATGCAAGGAATTCTTTGTGATAAAACATGAGTGTAAGTTTATATATCTCACGCATTTGCATTATGAGAGAAAACATATATCATTAAAAATCATAGATTTCAACACACTACTAATAAGTAAAGACATGTCAGTCAGATCATTGTTATGTAGTTATTGGATATACATGTACTATAAAATTATTATTTTTTATTTATTAAATTTGATTATATTATTTATTTACAGGTATGGAACAAAATTCATTATCCAACGACGATAATGCAAATTGCGGTTCAAAGGTACATAACAAATCTTTGATAGAGGAATTTGAGCATAAGTTAACAGTTGGGCAAATAGTAACAAGTCCTGAAAATGCATATCTATTATATTTTGAATATGGGCGCATTAAAGGTTTTAGTGTGAGAAAAGGAAAACAAGAGTATTTTCATGATAATAGTAGAGAACTTTATATGAAGGAGTTTGAATGTTCTTGTAAAGGTACAAAGGATGAAAAACGTAGTAATAAAGGTAAACAACCAATATACGTAAAGATGGAAACGAGATTTGGTTGTAGAGCAAGGCTTAGAGTTGGAAGAAAAAAGAATGAAGAGTGGAAAGTTGTTATTTTTTACATTGAACATAATCATGACATGGTCACACCTGACCAAAGTTATATGTTAAGATCGGCTCGTAATATTTCATATGTTAAAGGAGATACTTTAAAAGCACTGGTGGATGCTGGATTTTCAGTAGCTAACGCGTATACTTATATGCAACAAGAATCACATGGGAGGGAAAATGTAGGTTTTGCTAAAAAAGATGCATATAATTATATTAATCGTTTAACAAAAGATCACAAACAAGTTGATGATGGTGATGCTGCTGAACTAATTCGATATTTTAAGAATAAATCGAATGAAGATGCATTATTCTATTGGGATTTCCAGGTTGATGAAAACAATAGGATGTGTAACTTTTTTTTTAGAGATGGTCGGTGCCGCCTTGATTATGAAGCTTTTGGTGATGTTCTTTCAATTGATACAACTTATAAAACCAATAAATACAATTTGATTTGTGTACCTTTCACTGGCATTAATCATCATAAGAACAATGTGATGTTTGGGTTGGCTTTTATGTCAAATGAAACAGAGTCGTCTTTTCAATGGTTATTTAGTACGTTTCTTGAGTCTATGGGTGGTAAACAACCTGAAAGTGTCTTCACGGATCAATGTCAAGCAATGATGAATGCAGTTGAAATTGTATTTACAAATTCGCTACATCGATTGTGTCAGTGGCATATATGTCAAAATGCTCCCTCACATTTCGGTAGTTTAAATAATAATTCTGAGTTCAAGAATATGTTTTATAAGTGTATGGAATTTTGTGAATCTGAAGAAGAGTTCGAGAATGTATGGAGTAAAATGATCGCTGATTACAATCTGTATGACCATTCATGGTTGAACAACATGTACAAGTTGAGAAATAAGTAGTCTACGGCATTTAGTAAACATAAATTCAGTGTTGGACTTAAAGCTACATCAAGAAGCGAGGGAACAAATTCTACTTTGAAAGTTGGTGGTAAAAGTACACATAGTTTGTTTGAGTGTGTTGTTCGATTCGAAAAAGTTCAGAACATGTGGCGTCAAGATGAAAGAGAAAATGACTTTAAATGCCGGCGTGGAATGCCGACACTTGTTGTAAAAACTAATTATTTACTGAGAGATGCTGCAGCAGTTTATACTCACACTATATATAACATGTTCCAATCAGAACTGTTAAATTCATTGGGGATCGATCTTGTAAGAGAGCCTTTACGTATTGATACTTTAATCCAGTTTAAAGTAAGATCACAAGGCAGTTCAGGTCAAGTTTGTAAAGTTGAGTTTTCTTTGGACTCGCATGAAGTAAATTGCAGTTGTCAACTATTTGAATCTGTTTGTATATTGTGCAAGCATGCATTGCTGGTTTTTAAAGAAATGAATGTGCATAAATTACCCACAAGGTACATAAAAGTGAGATGGACAAAAGGTGTAAGAGATGTAGTGCACTTCAACGATGAGAACTTATTTGCAAGTAACCAAGAATCTGATACAGTGTATGTAAATCATACAATGAGATTTTGTTATGATCTTACGATGCGGAGTAAATTTCATCCATAAGCTAGAGATTTAGTGAGAATTGGGTTCGAGGGTGTCCTTTCGAATCTGAATGCATTACTTGATAAATTAGATTTGAGCAATACTCATGCAGATATAGTGATAGACGGTTCTCAAGTAAGTTCAGATGCTATGGAAGAACAAAGTGTTATAAACGATGAGCTTGTGAGGAATCCTCTTTATGTGAAGTCAAGAGGAGTGAATAATCTTCGTCTCCCAAGCCATTGGGATTTGAAAAGCAAAAGAGGAAAAACGAAAACTGAGTCTTCAAGTAAGTTTATCAAATATTTTATGTTGAATTTCTATTTTGTTGTATTAATTATTTTTGTCATATCTTAGAAAGAGCAGCAAAATGCACAAAAAAGAAAGCTCAGACCTTTGAAAGAGCCGTTAATGTTCGACATTTACGATACACTGCTCATCCTTTCGGAGATATTTCAACTGGTTCTCAAGCTTGTGAACCTCGATCTGATTGGTTGCATCATACGCCATATCCGACAATGCATGTGGTGAGCCATTTATTTAGTCTCTAATTATAATAAATATATTTGGCATCTTATAGTTTATGTATTGGATATTTAGGAACAAGGTCAAGTTTTTAATTTTGGCCAAGGCCATCCTTCGCCTTACATGTACCAACATTGGGGTGTTAATATATCACAGGTATATGTATTATGCTATTTTGTTAGTTTTGGTATTTTAGTGAGATAATTGTTGATAAACTATATCTACTTAACTTACTAACTAGTTGTGTTTAATTTCATCAGGGATCTGTTAGCAACAAGGAGGGGGGGCCCAATTTTCACTAGGATATTTTCTTATCATAGTTTTTTATTATAGTTCAACAAGTGTATTTTAGTTTCAGACAATTATTTTGCTGTTGGGAATTTGGAGAGAGTTTTTTTTTTTACAATGTTAAAGTTTTAATTTATCTAGTATATGCCAAACTTTGATGAGTAAACAGATGGCAACTCTATAACTTCTGCAGATTCGATATTTAAATGAATAGTATTCTTGTAATTTTCTATGTTTTTGTTATATTAATTAGTTGTGAACGATTACATCCTTGTTATTTGATTTGAACTACTGAGTACATATTCTGCCAATGTCAAGCTCATTTATTTGACTAGGTTTTGTACAATAGTCAACACTCAATTATATTGTCAAGCTTGTATGTTTTTAGTTTAGACACAGTGAAAAAGTAATACAATTTATAGTTCTAACACCATATCTCTCTTCAAATATTAAAATCTTTAACAATGGGTACAAATGCAAAAGTGAACGAAATTACAATATTTATACTAAATTTCACAATGATCGTACAATTTGAGTACTTAAGGTTCTAGATTGCCCAACTCCGGTACAGAAGTTCAAATAAGGTTCTTCGATTTTCCATTTATTTAATTCCAGTTGCTAATGAACCATCTCTTCATCACGATTTCCAGCTCTAAAGTACTATAAGGTTTAACACCATTTAAAATAAGGTTCTTCAGACATCCATGACCTGCAAGTTGTTGATAATCGACCCGACCACCTCTGACCGTTCGATCGCAGTCGAGATCCACGCCGACGCCACCACCGGCGGTTGTTCCTCAGTCGACGCCCTCGTTTCGGCAGTGACCGTTGTGCCTGCCTCGCCGCACTCTCCATCTTCTGCCTTGCCGCACCCTCCATCTTCGTTGCAGAGTTTCGTTTGCGGAAGCCAGAAGAAAGAAAATCAAAAGCCATAAATCAATCGAACCACGAAGAAGAAGAAGTGCAATAGTGGGTCAAAGAGGGAGTAATTGGAGAAAAAATAGAAAAGATTTGGAGAGAGGATCATAATTACCTATTTTAAAGTGATTCTTTCAATAATTAATTTCACAATAATTAAAAATATATAATTAACTAATTAATTTACTAATTGCCACATGTCGAAATCTTAGACACCCGGTGAACTTAACCGGGTGTAGCATAGAATAGACCTATCGGTTGCCAAAATATGATAAGTCCAGATGTTTGTTATCAAATTTTAAATTTTTATTATTTAATAATATTTGATGTATGATTTTCTTTCCTTAACATCAATCTAATTACTTAAAATTAAAATGGTCTAATTACTCTTTCTTATTGTACACATCTTTTTTTTAATATTTACATTTTGTTATTTTTTTCGAAAAAGAAAATTTGTTTTAATTTTATTTTTTCGATTTTTTTATCTTTTTCGGAAAAAAAAATCTTTATTTCTTTCATTTTTACTAAATAAATCAAATTGTTGTAAATAGTATGGAATGTGTGGTTTCCTAACATAACCACTTGATGGTTTTCAACTTCCCACTAGTTTATTAACTTCTCATATCTATTATATGGTGTTAGTGGCAATGCAACTTCTACGTAACTTCCACCTGTAACTC